TTATGGCTCGCAGAGCAATGGTGATGAAAAGCCCATATTTTGACGTCTCTATTTTTGAGTATGTTTCATTCCATTTAATGTATGGCACAGCCATATGAATGCTAGTTTAGCTGTGCAGTTGCGACCCAACACAACACAACTTCATTTTCTACTTCCAAGTAGGTCACATTTACATTCTTCCAATGTTTTTACACTAGTGATTATTTTTGGTAGAATATGTGCCACTTTAGGTTTTAGGTTTTGGTTCTTTCATAGTGCACAATAATTTGTTGTCGTTTCCCATTTCAGAAAATTGAGTTTTGGGGGTTTTATTGTTTTCTTTTCTTGCTAACCACTAATCCAAGCCCTTTGCATGTGAAGCAAGTGCCCTGCCATTGAGCTCTACCTCTAGCTAGTCACTTTTTTCAAAGTCTAGTATTTTAACACTTTGACTGACAATTTCATGCATCTGTGTCATGCATTTTGTTTTTTATAACCTCCTGCGCTGTCTTCCTGCAACTCCCTTTACTTCCCTTGCTCCCTCCCCGTTGTTTATGATTTTGAATATTCTGACGATTTCTGTGTTAGCTTACTATTTAATGAGTTTCAGCATGACTTCTACAAACAGAGGTTTCATTCATTCCTAACCTCTGCTGTTCCCCTGGCTCCCTTCCTTCTCCCTGCAGGTCCCCCATTCTGCTTTCTGCCACAACTGTTTCATTACCCTTTCCTCTCCTTCCTCAAGAGCTCTTTCTGGTGTTCATTCTTGCTGTCATATAAAACAGATTTGTCATATCATGCAAATACAGTGTAATAATCTGCATGAAAATCAGCATAAATTTGAACACACTTACGTTTCTGTGTGATAATATTTATGGACTGTTGGAAACATACTTTTTATTTTATATTGATACTTAAAGAACTGTCCAATTTAGAAACTGAGATAAATTAAAGGTTATAGAAAAAATAATTTTGATCTCCAGCCCCTTTCTACACAGTTCTTCAAGTGTGATCTACTTCCAGGTGATGTGTTTAGACTGCTTTATCTTGATAGTCAACTTTTATGTGTTACCCGCTCATTACGAAAGAATTTACAGTTCTTATTTCCCATTAATAGACACATACACAAAAGGTGTGCATTTCCCTTCTCCTAGTTTCCTGGTATAATTCTCAGAAAGTGTTGCCAGTTTCTGTTTCTGTGGGCTTCTATGGATCAAAACCAAGGCTACTAGATGAGTACCATCTCTGAAATAAAACTAATATCAATGTCTATCTAGCTAGGTCTCTTATGTGTGTACACTTAGTAGTGCAGTGTCATAATATTTCCTTTCTTGAAAACATCTTTCCCAGAGCTGATAGCTGCCATTAGATTTGGCTAAATTTCCATTTACTGCTAGTGATATTTCTGCCCCTCTTGTTCCAGGCTAAGTGAGCAAATAAAGAGGTGGGTACCATAAGCTGTACCCTTCCTTCTTTCTACTGATTTTTCACATCATAGTCCTCTTGAATATTAACTTTTTTGCCTTCAAATATTCAAATATCATAAACAATAAATTCTGTTTATTTCCTACAGATATTTTATTCATAGTTTTTCTTCATTTAGAGTGTTTACCAAATGGTTGTCATGTTGTTTTTATTTAAAACCTTTTTCATTTATTTTACCTAACAACTGCAGTTTCCCCTCTCTCCTTCCCCCTCATTCCCTTCCCCTGACTCCCATCTATTCTGCTCCCTATTCACTCTTCCTTCTCCATTCAGAAAAGGGCAGGCCTCCCGTGGGCTTTAACAAAGCCTGGCACCTCAAGTTGAGGTAGGACCAAGCTCCTTCCCCTGCATTAAAGCTGGGCAAGGTAGTCTAGTATGGCAAACAAGTTCCCAAAAACCAGCTAAGCACCAGGGACAGGTCCTGATCTCACTCCTACGAGCCTTACAAACAAATCAAGCTACATAACTGTCACACACATGCATAGGGCCTAGGTTGGTCCCATGCAGGCTCCCTAACAGCTGGTCCAGAGTCCATGTTCTCCCACTAGCACAGGTCATCTGTCCCTGTGAGTTCCTCTGTCATGACCTTGACCTCTCTGGCTCATATAATCCCTCCTCCCTTTCTTCAGGAGGATACCCAGAGTTTGGCCTGGTGCTTGGCTATGGATCTCTGCATCTGCTTCTATCAGTTCCTGGATAAAGGCTTTCTGATGACAGTTAGGGTAGTCACCAATCTGATTACAGTAGATGGCCAGTTCAGGCAGCCTCTCCACAAGGATGACTCCAGATAAGATCCCTAGCAATAGTGGAGAGGATGTCATACTTTTAAGACTTGCCACACACTGTCCACCTTTTATGGAACCCAATATCATTTCTGAGTTTACATTCTTACTTTGTTGGAACCCAATTTCATTAATATAGATGCAGAGGTAGTTTTATAAAAACAACTTCTGATACTTTACATAGTGCAGCAATCTTTTCATTTGATTGATAGTTTGTTTGGGTATAAAAGTATGATTTGAAATTTTCTCCCTCAGAATTAAAAAGCACTTTTCTGGTGTGGGAGGCCCCTTTGTCTGTGTTGCTTTTACTGATTAATGAATAGAAAAACTGCTTCGGCCTATAAAAAGGCAGAACTTAGCTAGGTGGGGAAAGCTAAACTGAATGCGGGGAGAAAGAAGGCAGATTCAGTGAGAAGTCATGTAGCCCTGCAGGAGACAAACACTGGAACTTTATCCGGTAAGCCAAAGCCTTGTTGCAATACATAGATGAATGGAGATGGGATAATTTAAGATATGAGTTAGCCAAAATACGCTTAAACTATTGGCCAAACAGTATTACAAATAATATGGTTTCTGTGTGATTATTTGGGGGCTGAGCAGTCGGGAACAAACAAGCGAGTACCTTACAATACTTTTCTTTTCCTTAATTGTGTAGACTCACCTTTCACAAGGAAAATTCCATTCTAAAGAGTATCTCATTTTCTGCAATATTTTTTCCATTCATTCTGGAAGCATTGGAAAAATGTACCCTCAGGAGTCTGAAAATACCATAGCACAAACTATTTGTTAACATTTTCACAAGGATATACTCTGTCAGTGTTCAGTTCAGAGAAAATTTCATTTTATTTTCCTCTAATTTTCCCTGTATTTTCTAAAAATTTTGATTAAATATTTGACCAACTGGACTGATTCTGTAAAATCCTAAGCATTTTACCCTTTTCTAGTTCCTATTTGCCTCTGGCTCTACTTTCCTTCATTGGTCATCTAATCATTTGATCTTCATATGTAAGCTTTCCTTTTGGCATATAAACACTTATAGAACTTTTTTAATCCTGCTAATTTTTAAAACAGCATTCATTGGAAATACAATATGTTTTATTATTTGAAATTTGCCTCAGATTGTATTTCCAAAGATATTCTTGTACAGCATTATTAAGGGTTTATAGTCATTTTAAAAATTAAGAATGTGTCAGAGAAGTTGAAGAAATTTACCAAAATTATATAGTTTGTATGGGACATTTAAGTCCCCTAATCTTTTCTGTTTTCTTTTTTAACTCTTGAAGCAGGGTCTCAACTATTAGTACAGGGTAGCTTAAAATGTGCAATCTCTGTGACTTCCTCCTGAGTATTGGGACCACAGGTATTATGTAGGCAGACCCACAACATTGGAAACTGTAAAAAGTTATTTGTGCTTTCCTGCTTTCCAGGTTAGCCTTCTGGACTACCTATGGTGTGGGATTATGTGTCGGCAATAGATTTGTTTTCCACAGTCTGAGAGCATCGCTTCAGAAGAGACTTGAAATCTCACCACTCTAAAGTTCTACTTTCCTTTAGTTTAATTTCATACTTTTGTTCAACACTACTTATGTGCCAAAGACTAGAGAAAGATTGCTGATCTCTCTAAATCAAGTATCCATTCTTTACCTTGAGTGACGTTGCTATCGCTGTAGACACAGCGAACAGAAAATTCAACACTACTATCAATATACCTTCAAATAATAAAACATTTGTCTCCTGATTGATTAACTTTAAACTTCCAGTTTTTCTAAATCTAGAATGTGAATGGTGTTATGAGAGACAAACATGCCATTTGCCCTAACCCCAGTGATGGACTTTTAGCCATTTCCTGGAACTTTGTAGTAAGTTTCTCCCATCTGTTTTCTATCTTTAAACTCATGTGTGTGCATTAGTTTTGTGAGTTCTCAAAACTCCTACTTCCCTGTCCACTTGATGGGCATTTCAAAGGCAGAAGAATAACTGCATATCGCCAGCTCGCCTACCTTTCCGTATCTATCTTTTGTGTTGGTTCATTTTCTTTTTTAGCTATATAGAACTTAAATTCTTAAAAATTCAATTCAAACAGTATTTTTCAACTACAACTATTTCATCCATTGCTGGGTACTTTTGAAACTTTCAATAGTGGACATCGCTAATGAGCGTCTAGCATCTATTCCCAACAGTTTCCTCCTTTAGTAGCAAGCATTAGTTCAGTTAGGGTTACTCCCTAGTTTCAGAGATGATACTATTTGGAGTTAAACAATAAAAGGGTAAGTCTTCAAGCTCTGTGACTAAAAGCTATCCCTATGATGCTGTCTGTGTAACCGTGTAGTGCTTCATTAGCCAGAACATGGCATTACTTGGTGTCATCAGATGTTAAATTTTCACTCTCTTCAGGAAAGCAAAATTATCTTTTTTTGCCCCTGAACTTCTATGTCGGCAGAATATCTTGGGAACCTGAGGGAGATCAGTGTTAGGAATAAGAGTATACTTTACACAAAACACCACATTTGTGAACCACTTACTCAATTTTTGTCACTTGCAAGAAAATGAAACAAAACTATGAATTTAAATAATATGTTTCTTAATGTGTACCCTCTCCTGGCTAATCCAGTTTCATAACCCAAGATTACCTCTAACACTTTTCATAGACACTTTTTCTTTTCCCTTCCAACTGAGGAAGGCCTAGTGAGAAGGGATGAGTTAAACTTAGCAATGTTATGTTCCTGAGACACTTAGCACGTGCTTTAAAACAAATAGTAACATCATCATAAATTTCAGAGAACACCGATGAAAATATACTAGTAACCATATAAACAATAAATATTTGTCTCTGGGGGGCATTCGATGTAAATGGAATTTAAGTAGCATTCATCAAACTGTGAAAATCTGAGAAGACACATGGTGGCGCTGTAGGATAATGTTACAGAAAAAATTACATTAAATACTACGGACACTCAGCCCCACTGAGCACGGAAAACTGAGAAGAAATAGCAAGTCCTGAAGGTGCTACCTAGAAACCGTTTGTCCTTCGGATTCTAAGGATTCTGTGGACAGATCAAGGGGCACATCTTACAGAACTGTGTGGTGGAGCAGGAGTGATTCTTCCAGAAGCCTACAGGAAAGGAGCTATGGAGAACGGAGGAGGAAGCCATCTGCAGACAAGGCAAGTCCTGCTTCTCTTTGTTTTGCTGGGAATATCTCAAGCACACGCTGAATCTCGGAGACTTTCAGTAGTGGAGGAGACCCTGAGTGGGGCCTTGGTAGGCAATTTGGTAAAAGACCTGGGGCTCGAGGTGGGTGAGCTGTCTTCACGGGGGGCTCAAGTGGTCTCTAAGGATAACAAACTGCCTTTGCAATTGAATACAAATACAGGAGATTTGCTTCTAAGCGAACCGCTAGACAGAGAGGAGCTGTGTGGCTCCACCGAGCCCTGCGTGCTGCATTTCCAGGTGTTAATGAAAAATCCCTTACAGATTTTGCAAGTTGAGCTTCAGGTAAAGGATATCAATGACAATTCTCCCATATTCTTGGAAAAGGAAATGGTTCTAGAAATCCCGGAGAATAGCCCTGTTGGTGCTGTGTTCCTACTAGAAAGTGCAACAGATTTAGATGTAGGAACCAACGCTGTGAAAAACTATGTGATAAGTCAGAGCTCTCATTTCCACGTTACGATGAGAGTTAATCCTGATGGCAGGAAATACCCAGAGTTAGTTTTGGACAAGGCACTAGATTATGAGGAGCAGCCGGAGCTCAGTCTCATCCTCACTGCTTTGGATGGTGGGACTCCCCCCAGGTCTGGGACTGCCTTGGTTCGAGTGGAAGTCATAGATATTAACGACAACTCCCCCGAGTTTGAGCACATGTTCTATGAAGTGAAGATTCCAGAGGATAGCATCCTTGGCTCACTGGTTATCACTGCATCGGCTTGGGATCTAGACTCGGGAATTAATGGTGAAGTATCCTATGCCTTTTCTCATGCATCAGAGGATATTCAAAAGACATTTGCCATCAATAAAAACTCTGGAGAAATAAGCTTAATAGGCTATTTGGACTTTGAAACAACCGAATCCTACTCAATAATCGTTAAAGCTGTGGATCGAGGAGGACTTTTTGGGAAATCTACAGTAAGAATTCAGGTGATGGATGTGAATGATAATTCTCCGGAAATTTCTGTCTCATCATTTACCAATCCAATCCCAGAAAACACCCCAGAAACTTTAGTTATGATTTTTAGTATCCAAGACAAGGACTCGGGAGAGAATAGCAGAATGGTCTGTTCTATTTCAGAGGACCTCCCATTTGTGCTAAAGTCGTCAATTGAAAATTACTACCACTTAGAAACGGAGGGAGCGCTGGACAGAGAGAGCAGAGCTGAGTACAACATCACCATCACAGTCAGCGACATGGGCACACCCAGGCTCACAACCCAGCACACCATAACAGTGCAGGTCTCTGACGTCAACGACAATGCCCCCGCCTTCACACAAACCTCCTACACCCTGTTTGTAGAGGAGAACAACAGCCCCGCCCTGCACATAGGCACCATCAGCGCCACAGACTCAGACTCAGGCTCCAATGCCCACATCACCTACTCGCTGCTGCCCACCCACGACCTGCAGCTGCCCATCACCTCGCTCATCTCCCTCAATGCTGACAATGGGCAGCTGTTTGCTCTCAAGGCGCTGGACTACGAGACCCTGCAGAGCTTCGAGTTCCGCGTGGGTGCCACAGACCAAGGCTCGCCTGTGCTCAGCAGCCAGGCGCTGGTGCACGTACAGGTGCTGGACGCCAACGACAATGCTCCCTTCGTGCTCTACCCGCTACAGAACGCCTCTGTGCCCTACACAGAGCTGCTGCCCAGGGCGGCAGAGCCAGGTTACCTGGTCACCAAGGTGGTGGCTGTGGACAGAGACTCTGGTCAGAATGCCTGGCTGTCATTCCAGCTGCTGAAGGCCACGGAGCCCGGACTGTTCAGCGTGTGGGCTCACAATGGCGAGGTGCGCACCTCCAGGCTGCTGAGTGAGCGCGATGCGCCCAAGCACAGGCTGCTGCTGCTGGTCAAGGACAATGGCGATCCTCCAAGGTCTGCCAGTGTCACTCTGCAAGTGCTGCTGGTGGATGGCTTCTCTCAGCCTTACCTGCCGCTGCCCGAGGTGGCGCACAACCCTGCCCAGGATGAGGATGCACTCACGTTGTACCTGGTCATTGCCTTAGCATCTGTGTCTTCGCTCTTCCTCTTGTCTGTGCTGCTGTTCGTGGGGGTGAGGCTGTGCAAGAGGGCCAGGGCAGCCTCTCTGAGCGGCTGTTCTGTGCCTGATGGACACTTTCCTGGCCACCTGGTGGATATCAGTGGGGCGGGGACCTTGTCACAGAGCTACCAGTATGAGGTATGTCTAATGGGAGGTACTGGCACAAATGAGTTCAAATTCCTGAAGCCAGTTTCTCCCAATCTACCACTCCAGTTCCCCAGGAAAGAAATGGAGGAAAGTCCTACTTTACGCAATAGTTTTGGGTTATTTAGTGACAGCACCTGATGCTATATTTCATTTTATGGCTATCCCAAGGCAATATGTATGTCTCTCAATTTGCATGATCTTCAAATCTCCTAGTGTTTGCATTTTATTATATCCCTCCCTCTTTTCATTTTATGTCAGTGCTTGTAATAAGATGGTAATTTTTAAACGGTGGCCCATTCTGTAGGATATCCTAACTGGTAAAAGAACTTACTTCCTTAAATCCCACAAAACCAGCCCATCTGTCTTTCCCAGCTGCACTTTTACCTTCGCTTTGCTTATGATGAAATAAACAGACCACTTCTAAAGTAGTTGAAACCTTCAAGCATTATCTTTCCTTGACTCTCTTTTTGTACTTTTTCTTGAGGCTTATTATTGTGGATACTATTTTCAAGTAAGATTATTTTATAACCATCCTAGCTTAGATGTTATGTTTAAAGGTTTGTTGCTATTCAGTATATTGATATATTGGAAAATCTATACTGTGATCCAACCATTAATTCCATTGAAAAAGAGCTTATAGTGGGTCTGAGGATGGCTCGGTAATAGGTTCCCAGATAAATGACAGCACAGAATAAACAAGTGGGGACAGTGCTGATGTTCTTAATAACTCTGTCTTATGCATTCTGGAAGGTGACTGGGGAGGCACATGAATACTGTGGCCACTTACAGAATCATGGAATGTGAGGCCTTAATTTTACTAATGTCACAAGGTCAGAATGTAAGTCAGGTGTACATAGGCACCCAAACAGTAGTTTAGATAGGAGAAAACAAGCTTGTGAGATAACACATAATTTTGCTTATGTTCTTCCTGAAATAAACAAGCATGTGCTGAGTACTGATTGACATGTAATATTATGCTGTGTGTATTTTCCAACATTCAAACCTAAAAGGAAGAAACATTTTGTGCTCAGTACTTAGTCTATTGTGAGCTTGAAATTTCCTATATTATTATATCACTTAAACTTCCTGATATGGTCACATACCACTAAGTAGGTCCCAAATTCTACTGAAGAGTATCAGTCAAAAGTTTGGTGACAACTTTTTTTGGATGTATGAAAGTGTCATATATGTGTGGTTTCAAGAGATCATTATTTAGGTTCTAATTTTTAAAAAATTAAGTTCAACTGACACAGAAGGGAGTTTTATCTTGTGTTGAGAAGGACCAGCCTATAATGGTTCTTGCCCTTAATGGTCAGATAACACTACAGGAAAAAATGTAATGGTTGGGAGATGAAATTTCCTAAAAAGCCTAAAGTAGTCTGTGTTGACTGAGTTTTCTGTCCTACCTGGTTCCCTCAATCATTCAGTCCCTAAGAAATCACGCAGAGATCTATACTAATGATAAACTGGTTGACTCATTAGCTTAGGCTTCTTATTAACTCTTATAACTCATATTAACCCATTATTCTTATCTATGTTAGCCACATAGCTCAGTACCTTTTTCACCGGGGCAATCACATCTTCCTTCTTCTGTGATTGGGACAGGACTGGGGAGGAATGGGCTTCCTCCTTCCCAGAAGTCTCCTGTTCTCAGTGACCCGCCTCTACTTCCTGTCTGGTTGTCCCGCCTATATTTCCTGCTTGGCTACTGGCCAATCAGTGTTTATTTAAAACATAACTGACAGAATATAGACAATTGTCCTGTACCAAGTCTGTATGTATAGAAGGAGGAAAATGCAGTGAGAAAAAAGGGTCATTATGGAAGAGAAAGATAGTAAGGCATGATGGTAAGAATGAGGGAAGAACTAAGTAATGATGCTTCCAGTCCCATAGACTAAAGTAAATGTCATAAACTTCCTCTTGAAGATATTTAACACCGTATGTTAGTTAACTAATTTTAGTTAATTAAAATCCCTCCAATATCCAAGACAACCCAGTGTTTATAATTTTTGGAAGCTAGCTATTTCATTATCAGTCCATTAAACTATGTAATCTTTACATCCAGTCAAAATGTGGATACAGGCTAGTTAAATTTAAGTTCCTACTTTGGGAAGTAGAAGTTGAAGCATGCTCTCTCGCCTTTAAATGAAAGCTCCTTTATAGAGAGAACTAACTGAAGAACAGTAAATCAAATCAAGTGTTAAGATTACCTACTGTCCATTATGGTACTGTGTGGAGAAGAGTTGGAGGATCACTTAAAAAACATTATAGCATGTCAGACAAGATACACATATTACATAAGTAAAAATACTGAAAATAGATACTTCATGGGTGCCATAGTAGCTATAGTGAAAAAGTCAGACAAGACTATAATGAGTGCTGACAGAATGTGGGGAAAATGGAATACTGGTGCTGTAACTTTAAAAAATGATACATTGTTTTGGAAAGCAACTTGTCAGTTCTTCAAAACATTAAATATATAAACATTCTATTCCTCAGAAATTCAATTCCTATATGCTTATCTAAAAGAAATAACATATATCTATCTATACAAAACCACTTATGAACAAATGTCCATAACTTAATTAGTGCTGAACATAATACTAAAAAAAAAATGAAACAACCCAAATAGGTATCAACTGATAAATACATAAACCAAATGTGGTATTTCCATATAATGAAATTATTTTTAATGAGCAATAAAATAAGCGAAATATGATAAACAATGTTTCAGTTTAGGGTTATTATTGCTCTGATGAAACACCATGACCAAAGCAACTTGGGGAAGAAAGGGTTTATACGGCTTTTGCTTCCTCATCACTGTTCATCATTGAAGTCAGGGCAGGACCTCAAATGGGGTTGGACCCTGGAGGCAGGAGCTGGAACAGAGGCCATGGAGGAATGCTGCTTCCTGGGTCGTACTAGTTCTTTCTCATCAGGACTGACAGCCAAGCATAATGACAAGGAAACTTATTAATTATGAAAGCTTGGCTTTTAGCTTAGGCTTATCTCAACTAGCTCTTATAACTTAAATTAACCCATTTATAATAATCTACATTCTGCCACCTGACATTACCTCTCTTGCATTTTGCACCTCCTGTTTTCTCTCTATCTCTGACTAGCGACTCTGCCTTTCTTCTTTCCAAAGTTTTCTCTTTGGCCAGAGTTCCACCTATACCTCTTACCTAGTTATTGATCATTCAGCTATTTATTGCACTAATCACAGCAATGAATCTTCACAGTGTTCAAATATCCCACAATACTGGGTTTCTCTCCAAAGCTTGTTCAAAATACTTTCTTATAGAATCCAGAATCATCATCTCAGAAGTGACCTTACCCTCCATGGGCTGGACGCTACCACTTCAATCACTAATTTAGAAAATTCTCTACAGGCTTGCCTATAGACCTATGTTATGCAAACATTTTCTCAATTGAGGCTCCCTTCTCTCCAATGACTCTAGCCTGTGCCAAGTTGCCATAAACTAGTTAGCACATCACCTTGGGAAATCTCAAAAATATGGTGCTAATTTTTATGTTCTTTGGCAGCCTACTGGCTATGGCTTAGTGCTCTGTCAAAAATATTGTGTTGAATAAAAAACTGTTATTTTTAAAAATCACATATTCTACAATTGTTTATACAAAATAATCAGGACAAACAAATCTATGAAGGCAGAAAGTGTTTTGGTGGTTGTCTAACGTTGGGGAAATGTGTAGTAGTGGAGATTAGCTGGGTGCAATTTATATGGGGGCCAATGAAACATTTAAAATTAGAAATAATGGTAAGAGCTGCACAATTCTGAAAATACAAATGTAAACCTTAAATGGTGCAATACAATGGTGTCTCTATTTCAACAAATATGTTCCAAATAATGGAGAATGGCTCTAGAAACCTATAATTTCAAGCGAGCTAGATCTTTTCTCATCCATGATGATAAAATTGTAAAGAGAAATTCAAACCACCAAGGCAGAAGACCTCTACAGACACAACAGGTGGTCTAGGTACCAACCTTGCTTCAAGCTTTCCCAGATACTTAAGCATCAATATTTCCATATTTCTGGGTGGAATTGTGTGTTTCCTCTAGTGGAGAGCAACCAAACTTTCTGGAGCTCTCATGCTTGTATATGAGTAATCAATCAATCTTCTAAAATGTTTTGCTAAAGCCATTTTTTCTCAATCTTCAAATATTTCTGTTATAGTTAAATTCAACACGGTACATTCAAATTAAACCATACCGGTCAATTTTGTAATAGACGACTTCTATAAATTATAAGTACTTAAGAAAATTTTCTCATAACCAATGGAGGAAATTCGATTAGAAATACCTGTAAAAAAAATTCAACCTCTAAAAATAAATTTTGTTGAAAAAAATCTCAACAATAAAAACCAACAACAGTTTAATTTCTGATTGACAAGAAGTACTGGAAGTAAAGGACTTGTGTTGTTAGGGCATTTTAACTTGTAAGGACAGCTACCATCTTTTTAACTGTCAATCTGGCCACCATTCCTGGTCCAGGGCACTGTTTAATCTAAAACCATGGTCATTCAGGCCCCAGCTCTTTATCTACTTTCAAGTCTTCACCACTCAGGCCATTTGCTGCACTTCTCCCCCAAGAACTGCCCTTCCTGTGGTATAGTTACTGGGTCTCTCCCTCTGGGAACAGCAAGTGATTTGCCTTTAAATCTTCTCCTATCTACTCCTATCATACCTTTGACCTTGTCATAGCCTCCTCTGCATGGCACAGCTACCGTACATCAACCGTCTCCTGTTCCTTCTAAATTTCCTTCTTATCCAACCAACTCCCTCATTTGGTGCTCACACTCACATTCATGCTCTCTTATCCCCAATTACCTTGTTCAATTTTCTTCACTGAAACAACTTGGAAAGAACTCCACTTATTATAGATGAAATCACTTTCTTTCTTCTCTATTATACCTGGGTTGCAGTACCCTAAGAAAAAAACTATTGAAGTTATTAACACCACTGTCACATTAATTTTCATATAAAAACTATATTGAGGGGCCTGGAGAGATGGTGCAGTGGTTAAGTAGTTGCTCACACTAAGAACCTGAGTTCATTCCTAGAACAAACATCTAACAGCTCACAATCTATTGTAATTCCAGCTGCCCTCTTCTGGACTCCTCAGGTACCTGCATTCATGTGCTTACATACACACACACACACACACACACACAGTTAAAAAATATATGTTTGAAGTATATTCATATTTAAGGCCAAGAAATTCCTTTATAATTTTCCTAATCTCCTTTCTGTATTGACAACTACTTTTAAAGCTTGATAATCTTACGTTAATTCTCTCACTCAGTTATTCAACAGATGAACTTTCCTCGTGAACCTTAATGATAAAAGAGAACTTGTCAGATGTTGATTATTTTAGTTCCCTGTACCACATTTTACCTGCAGGTTTTGTGTCAACTTGACACAAGCTAAAGTCATCAGAGAAGAAGGAGCTTCAGTTGAGGAAATGCCTCCATGAGAACCAGCTGTAAGATGCTTTCTCATTTGGTGATCAATGCAGAAGGACCCAGCCCATGGTGGATGGTGCCATCGCTGGGCTGGTGGTCCTGGGTTCTATAAGAAAGCAGGCTGAGCAAGCCAGGGGAAGCAAACCAGTAAGCAGCACTCCTCCATGGCCTCTGCACCAGTTCCTGCTTCCAGAATCCTGCCCTGTCTGAGATCCTGTGCTGACTTCCTTTGGTAAGGAACAGCAATGTGGAAATATATGCCAAATAAAAACCCTTTCCTCCACAAGTTGATTTTTGGTCACGGTGTTTCATTTCATCAATAGAAACCCTAATTAAAACACAAGTCTACACCTTGGCAGAATATGCCATACTTTTCTTGTTCTGGGATGGCTTCACCAAGTCCAATTCCTTTTTGTGTTCTGGATATAGTCTTTAACTGACCTCTGGGGCTTCTGCATTGATTATCTTTTCAGCATTTTAATTTTCTTCCTTTCTAGTAAATACTAAACAGCATTATTAAAAATATTTTTAAGATTCCCCCGTCTTTTAAAAACTAGGTCTATATATTTCATCAGCTGTTTATAACCTTTTTTTCATTTATAGATTGCTTGACTTCATTTCCTACCCTTGTTTGCTTCCTCATCCCTCAGACTTCCTAACCAAGGACAGTTTCATTTTCCTTGCAACCATTTTACTGAAAATGTTATTTTATGGTCATAAAAATGTATGTATGCATTAAATAATGTTATATTACCAAATCAAATAAATGTAATATGCAATGCTCTACAAAAGCCCTTCTCTTTCGTGTGACTGTGCTAACACAAATGGCTGTATAACTAGAACAGTTTTGCCCTTCATGGTTCTTCTAGAACCAGACTTCACTCCAAATGACTGCTTCAACATTTCCTATGGAAAATGAATAGTCTATTTGGCTGTAACGTCTCACTATCATACCTATGTTCTAGATGACTTGGGGAAAAGATGGTCATTTAGACCTCTTCTGTCCCAGACAAGAAAGTTACAAACAAAAATTCTGCTCTCAAACTGTCTGTGAAATTGCCAAGGTCAAACCAAACTACCAAGGAGGCTTAGGCAGGCATATCAACTCAGTTGCCATATATCTTAGTTACTCTTCTATTGCTATAATAAAACGTATGACCAAAGCAACTAACTTTTAGAAGTGTTTAACTTGGGGCTTATTTTTTCAGTGTGTTAGAGTCCGTGATAGTCTGGTGGCAGAAACAGCTGAGAGCTCACATCTTGATCTGCAACTGGAGGCAGAAAGAAAACTATAAGAAAGACATAAGCTCTTCAAAACATCAAAGTCTGACACAAGTGACATTCCTTCTCCAATAGGGCCACACTTTCTAATCCTTCCATCAGCTGGAGACACAGTGTTCAACCATAAGAATCCTTAGCAAGCATTCCCATTCAAGCCACCATACCATACAATTGAGTGCATGTAAAAAAGTGGTGTATATTTTAATAGACACCTATCAGGGTAATCCACAAATTCTGCCTTAAATACAGTAGACAATTTAAATACTTACTTTTTTCTTGACTTGAGAGTATTTTCCACTCTTCCTAACTTCCTTTCAGAGAATTATTTTGAATCTAGGTATTTTTTGTTTGGAAGAAGTTACTTATTTTCCTTTTCCTGTAAGTGAACATTGGTTATAGTGTTCTGTGTATAACAAAATTTACAAATGCCTATTGTTTTCCAATGAGAGTAGCACTTGTCTATGACCTACACACACCAACTTATATACTTCAAATTGTCCCTGGATTACTTATAATACCCAATGCCTAATAAAAATGGAAAGTCTTACATACTCCATACAAATAAAATGTTTGAGGTTATGTTGTGATTTATTTTATTTTTATAATCTTACTGCTTTAGAGTGAGAGATTGAACCATAGTCTTAATAAGCATACCACACACTCACACCACTACTGAGTGACCTCCCTATGTTTTAATTATCCTCTTAACATTTATTTAGTTATTTGTGGTTTCTTTAAAATGCCAACTCATTAGTTTCTATGGTAATGATCCTAGGAGGTAAAGTTATCAGCATCCTATATTTAATAGGTAGGGAATCAAAGGTAATAGTTTGTACAGGTCTATAAGTGGTAAGTGACAGTACCAGGATTCTAATGTTGACATATTGGTTCCAGAATCTATGTTCCTAAATAGTATCCATCTCCTAGGTCATAGTTACTTGTCTTTTCTAGATGTTTCCACTATTCTTTACCTATGAGTTGTTATATCTTAATTATTAGCTTATCAATTTTTCTAGAATTCAAGTTCGACAAAATAAGACCATCTTATTTGCATTATATCTTCACATGTGTATGTATATGTGTGTGTGCGCGTGTTTTGTGTGTATGTGTGTGTTTTCAGACAGTGTCTCCCTACATAGCCTTTCCCGGCATGGAGCTCACGATGTAGACCAGACTAACCTCAAACTCTTACAGATCTCTCTGACCCTGCCTCGTGAGTACTGGGATTAATGGCATGCACCACTACACCCTACTATTTTTAAGTGTAAAATTAAGACACCTAATACTCCTATGACTTAAACCAAGTTAACTACTAACAAAAGTAGTTTGTTAAAATACAAAAGCTCTGTATTTTTCCAGATTAATAAGTGTGTCTATGGTGTGTGTGTGTGTGTGTGTGTGTGTGTGTAAAAGGCAATAGTGTTACCAATTGTATTATGAACTCGCACCAACAAACATTTACCAGAGAGAAGGCAAATATTTGTAACCACTAAAGGATTGTCTTGAAATAAATATTATTTATTTATTTGGGACACTTTAGTGGATCTTTTTGAGTTGAAAATTCTAAACACTAATGATTTTATGGGAACTATGGACTTTGTTTCAATTATAATCCAGGCAATCCAACAACAAGAGACATTTTGTAGGAAACTGGAAGAGGCCAAACAGACTGAGTTATAAGTTATAATCAAAAATTATATCTAAATAGATCAATTATAATAATGATATTGTAATTATGTTTTTAAAGGCCTTGCTAATTAGAAATAGTTAACGAATATTTAAAGGTAAACATAGTATATGTGAAATTTGCTTTTAAATAATCTACATAGATATATTCACAAAATTTTAGGAGATAAATACTAAATGAAAAAATTCACAGAGACATATGGTGGCGCTATAGGATAAGATGAAACAGTGCATAGCCAGCCCTGTGGGCTCCACTATCCAGAAGACCAGAGAACAGCCAATCCGTTGAGAAGGGAGGTATTACAGGAGCTTTACGGACAAAGCTGTTAAGGGATTTTCAATAGAAAAATCAGAAATTCCTCTATCAAAATTGGGACCAAATTCAATATTTGCAACAAAAGAGATTGCCTGAAGGAACTATGGGAGCCAGAAGGATGATGATTCTGCAGGAAAGGCAAGTCTTGGTTTTCTTTGTTTTGCTGGGATTGTGTAGGGCAAGTACTGAGTCTTTGCACTATTCTGTAGCAGAGGAAACAGAAATTGGCTCTTTTGTGACTAATCTGGCAAAGGATCTGGGGCTGGGAGTAGCGGAGCTGTCCTCCAGGGAGGCCAGAATAGTGTCAGATGATAATAAAAAGCGATTACACCTTAATTTGCTGACGGGAGATATGCTCCTGAGTGGGAGGCTGGACCGGGAAGAGCTGTGTGGCTCCTCCCAGCCCTGTGTGCTGCCTTTTCAGGTGGTACTGGAAAACCCTTTACAGTTTTATCGAGCAGAGCTGCATGTCAGAGATATAAATGATCACTCCCCCACATTCCTGGACAAGGAAATATCTATTAAAATATCAGAAAGTGCAACGATCGGAGCCACGTTCTTAATTGAGAACGCACAAGATCTGGACATAGGAAGCAACGGTCTCCAGGACTACACCATTAGTCCCAATTCTCATTTCTATGTTAAAATTCACGACAGTGGTGATGGAAAGATATATCCGGAGCTGGTTCTAGACAGAGCTTTAGATCATGAGGAGGAATCTGAGCTGAGATTGACACTTACAGCCCTGGATGGTGGGTCTCCACCCAGGTCTGGTACAACATCGGTTCTCATAAATGTTATGGATATCAATGACAACGCTCCTGAGTTTGCTCAGAGTTTCTATGAGGTGCAAGTTCCAGAGAACACGCCTGTCGGTTCGAGTATTATTGCTATCACTGCTACAGATTTAGATATAGGAAATTATGGGAAAATATCATATTCATTTTTGCATGCTTCAGAAGGTATTAGAAAAACCTTTAAAATCAACCCAACATCTGGGGAAGTCAACTTGAGATCATTACTGGATTTTGAAGTAATACAGTCCTACTCTGTAAATATCCAAGCAACAGATGGTGGAGGTCTTTCAGCAAAATGCACTCTTTTAGTTAAAGTATTGGATATAAACGACAATGCACCAGAAGTGATCATATCATCGATTACAAAGACAGTTCCAGAGAATGCTTCAGAGACCCTGGTCGCTCTTTTCAGTGTCCGAGATCAAGATTCTGGGGACAATGGAAGGATCCTTTGCTCTATTCAGGACGACCTTCCATTTATCCTGAAACCCACCTTCAAGAACTTTTTCACTCTCCTTTCTGAAAAAGCACTGGACAGAGAGAGCAGAGCTGAGTACAACATCACCATCACAGTCAGCGACATGGGCACACCCAGGCTCACAACCCAGCACATCATAACAGTGCTGGTCTCTGACGTCAACGACAATGCCCCCGCCTTCACACAAACCTCCTACACCCTGTTTGTCCAAGAAAACAACAGCCCCGCCCTGCACATAGGCACCATCAGTGCCACAGACTCAGACTCAGGCTCCAATGCTCACATCACCTACTCGCTGCTGCCAACCCACGACCCGCAGCTGGATCTCTCCTCTCTCATCTCCATCAATGCCGACAATGGGCAGCTGTTCGCACTCAGAGCGCTGGACTATGAGGTTCTGAAGACCTTCGAGTTCCAAGTGAGTGCCACAGACCAAGGCTCGCCTGCGCTCAGCAGCCAGGCGCTGGTGCACGTCCACGTGCTAGACGCCAACGACAATGCGCCCTTCGTGCTCTACCCACTGCAGAACGCCTCTGCGCCCTTCACAGAGCTGCTGCCCAGGGCGGCGGAACCTGGTTATCTGGTCACCAAAGTAGTGGCCATAGACAGTGACTCTGGCCAGAATGCCTGGCTATCGTTCCAGCTACTCAAGGTCACGGAACCAGGGCTGTTCAGCGTGTGGGCTCACAATGGCGAGGTGCGCACCTCCAGACTGCTGAGTGAGCGCGATGCGCCCAAGCACAGGCTGCTGCTGCTGGTCAAGGACAATGGCGATCCTCCAAGGTCTGCCAGTGTCACTCTGCATGTGTTGGTGGTGGATGGCTTCTCTCAGCCCTACCTGCCTCTGCCTGAGGTGGCGCGCGACTCCACCCAGGACGAGGATGCGCTCACGCTGTACCTAGTCATTGCCTTGGCATCTGTGTCTTCGCTCTTTCTCTTGTCTGTGCTTCTGTTCGTGGGGGTGAGGCTGTGCAGGAGGGCCAGGGCGTCCACTCTGGGTGACTACTCTGTGCCTGAGGGACACTTTTCTGGCCACCTGGTTGACATCAGCGGTACGGGGACTCTGTCTCAGAGCTATCAGTATGAGGTGTGTCTGACGGGAGGTACTGGGACAAATGAGTTTAAATTCCTGAAGCCAGCCATCCCCAGTCTTCAACTCCACAATGCTGGTTCTAATATGCAGGAAAAGGAGAATTTTCGGAATAGTCTTGGATTTAATATCCAATAAAATCTCCTTTAAACTCTGAATATTTTACCTTCATTGTCAAATTGCCGGTGATTCTTTTTCTTAATCTGCAATGGATTTTAGGGTTTTACTGATGTTGCATGCGTTTTCATTTCACATGTGTCTCTCACAGTTGCTTTAAAAATCGCTATGGGGTTTAGGATATAAAGAAACAATCTGCAGTTTTTGTTTATCTTGTCGGAGTTTTATGCTAATGGTTCTACTGTTTGTGAGACATTGCAAGACACAAAAATGGAAATGCTGACTAAAGTATTGAGAGTGAATGTGTTGAGCTGGTGGTTACTGTACCTGGTGGGGTCCAAGGCAGGTAGTTCTGGGTGGATCTACAAAAAAGAAAAAAAGCGAGGGAGGAAGGGGAGACGGGAGCTAAAAAGGGGCAAATGCCACCACATAAGGGAGTTGTTCCAATATACTATTAAAATCCAGCAAGCAGGCATATTAAATGCTGCTGCATCTGGGTAGAAATTATATTGGATTCTTAGTATTCTTTGTTAGATTATTTCATCGTAAAAGATTTTTTTAATGCTGCCCCTCCATATCCAGCCGTGGAGGACTTTGTGGTCTCATGTTTTCACGAACTGATTCCTGTTCATGTGCCCTGCGTTAAATACTGATTGTTTGAGTAATTTTTCTTTATCTATTTTCTAATCGTTCCTTCTAATCCTCAAAATATTCTGGGTCTTGATACTGCTGTTGCTTGTTTTTAAACACACGCCTGCTTGGTTAAAATTCATGCTACTCTTTATCATTTATTGCTAAAGCAGATAATAAATTCATAATCTTATTCTAAGTAAATAGTCTTTCATCAGAGGAAAACAGTATAAAAACTTCGTAGGAGGACTGGAGAGATGGCTCAGAGGTCCTGGGTTCAGTTCCCAGGAACCACATGGTGGCTCACAACCATTTGTAATAAGATCCGGTGCCCTCTTCTGACCTGCAGGCATACATGCAGGCAGAACACTGTATACCCAATAAATAAATTAAAGAAAAAAACTTCCTGGGAATTAAATATTTTTAATGTAATTAATTTTTTATTTTGTGTGAATTGGTGTTTTGCCTGCATGTATGTCTGTCTCTGTGAGATAAGAGCAAACTGGAAATGCACCAGCTCTTGTGTGGAATTTTCGCCTTGAACTTGACTTTTTAGCCTTAAAGTTTAATTAGCTATTACTGTAGCAGTAATCTTAGATATCGATAAAATCAAATACAGGTTTGTATAAAATAAATTATTCCCTAAGCGTAGATTACTCACCCTATTGCTTGGTATTTTTAATACTCTTCATACCCTAGGAAACATGAAGCCAAGAATGAGAGCCAGCAGGAAACAAAACAATGCTAAAATAACTTAAAAGAATGTAAAATTACTATCATTATCAGGCAATCCACAATACAATAAGCATGTTAATTGAAATAGAAGTTAAACATGAAAATGTACAGGTAACAAAAAATCTGTAAAATATGACAGATGGGGGCTAGAGAGGTTGACTCAGGCATTAGCATAGGAATTCCATCCCCACCACCCAACTCTGGCTGCTCAACTGTAACTCTAGCTCCTGAGAAACTGACTCCCTCTTCTGACCTCTGCCAGCCCCTGCACTCACATGTGCACATATCCACATGCAGACAGACATGCCAACACTAATATGACATATTTGATAAGAACAAACTTAAGCTTCTGTGTGTAAAACACATTTTTGAAACAGAATAAGACAATAAAATTACAGCAAAATATTTAGGCACAAAAAAAGATATTCGAATACAATCATACATTATGTAACTCAAAAAGGTAATACAATGAAAATACAAGAGGAGATGATTAAAAACACAGGCAGGCAGACCAGCTGTGGTGGTACACGCTGGTAGGGTTATCTAAGGAGGCAGAGGTAGGAGGGGCACAAGTTTGAGGTCAGCCTTGGTTTCACATTTTAAGAATTTCAACAAAAAAAGAAAAACCAAACATGGGACAGAGTAAAAATTTCAACCGACATACAAAGGGAGAGATGAAGTTTTCTTTTTCTTCTCTCTCTCTCTCTCTCTCTCTCTCTCTCTCTCTCTCTCTCTCTCCCTCTCTCTGTGTGTGTGTGTGTGTGTGTGTGTGTGTGTGTGTGTGTGTGTGTGTGTGTGTGTCTGGCTGTCTCTGTCTCTGTCTCTGTCTCTCTCTCTCCCTCCCCCCCCTCTTAGTTTTTTAGGACAGAGTTTCTCTGTGAAGACCTGGCCATCCTGGAACTTGTTCTACAGACCAGGCTAGCCTTGAACTCAGGTTCCTGAGTACAGGGGTTAAAGGTTTGCACCACCACTGCCCAGCAAGAGAGATGAACAAATTTTAACCAGAACAGAATCTGAAGAAATAAAGACTGGGGGATTTCTAGAATTAATGAAATATCAGCAAACAAATCTAAGCGATCGCTGTAAATCTAAAAGGAAACATTACAGAGATGTTTGTGTCTATATAAACATCATAGTGGGATTTCAGAAAACCAAAAAACTGCAAGAAATAGCAATTTAAATTCAATACATGATGATTACACTGTCCAGTCTGATCTGTGTTTCTCAGTAGAAGCAATGTAAAATAAGAAACCTTCAATGTGCTGACAGAAGTTAGCAAGCCATTCTATCCTGTTTTTTTTTATAGAGTCATCAAAGGAGAAGATTGAACAAACTTGACATCATTTTAGTTTTAATTAATAAAGGTTACAGGGAAGAAGCAGTATAAATAGATTTTATCTTTATGGACCCAAACCTTGCCACAGATGTGGTTTAGGAGTTTGGTGTGTCTTTGTTTCTAGCCTCTAGCCACATTCCTTCTCTCCTCCTCTCCTGATAAAGTCTCACAGTGTGGCCCAGACCGGGTTCAAACTGATGATTCCCAGGCCTTGGCTTCTGAACTGTGTATCATAGAGGCCTGATTCCACAGTCATTTCTACTCTAGAATATCAACATCGGACCACAAGTATTTTCTAGAAGTGGTAGTCTCCTATGACTGCATAGTCTCTCCTCTCTTGCTTGCCCCCCAAACAGGACTCTCCAGAAGTGAATGCAAGGACAGATAAAAGGCCTTTGTGCGTGCAAAGGAAGCACTGTACCACTGAACTACATCCCCCAAACACAGCATCCTTAAGCTGTGTTTTATTATTTTCTTGGTTTCAAACACCAATTATGTCAATAAACCCCAAATTCATCATCGAAGCTCAATTCTTTCCTCAGTTTCATTTATATGGTGGAAGATCATGTGTGTGGCTATAGGGGTGTTCTGTGTTAACCTTAAAGTTTTTTTTTCAAGACAGGGTTTCTCTGTAGCTTTTTAGAGCCTGTCCTGGGACTTGCTCTGTAGACCATGGCCTCAAACTCAGAGACCCGCCTGCCTCTGCCTCCCGAGTGCTGGGATTAAAGGTGTCCCATCACTGCCCGACTCACCTTAAACTTTGTTGTTGTTGTTTCTTGCTTTTTTTCCAACTCACATTTTAAAATTTTTTTTTAAAAAAAAAAACCTTTTTTATTTTACATACCAATCCCTGTTCTCCCTCCCCTCCTGTTCCCACCACCTTCTCCCCACCTCAACCCCAAACACTCCTCAGAATGGGTAAGGCCTCCATGGGGAGTCAACAAAGTCTGTCATATCACATTGAGGCAGGGTCAATGTTATCTAGGAGTAGGAAGGAATCCCTCCATATGGAAAGGACTCCAAAAAGTCAATTCATGTTCTAGAGATAAATCTTGAAAATTTTTAATGTCCTACATGGGTTTTAAGCTAAAATTTTCCCTTCCCCTAAACTGAAATTTGTTCCCCTTCCATGCATATCCCTCTTCCATATCTTCTTTCTGTTTACACCACCAGTTAACAGCACTAATATCATATGATACTTAAATCTTGTAAATGAAGTAATATTTCCTCACTATAACACTCTCGTATGACTGATCTATCACTTCATCCTGTATTATCACATAGTGTGGGTACAAATGCATTACTGCATTTTCAGTTGATGCCACCATCATCACCTACCTCTATTATTGCAACAAGCTCTTACCTGTGTCCAGTTTTTTCTCTTCTTTTTATTTTTTTATTTAGTTTTTAAATACATAATTTCTTCCTTGTTTATTCTCAACTCTGAAATATGTTTATCTTTTAAAAAATAAAACCTGGATTATATTACTCTTCTGTTCAGAAAACTTCGACGTTCTTGCATTTCCACTGACGTGCCTTATAAATTCTTTGCTTGCTTTTCCAATTTCAGCTTTTACCAAACTTCTCCTGTTATGAGCCATTGCCATGATCTTATTTCAGCTCTTTTGGAACCTGCCTTTCATTTTAGATTTGTAATGTCACGTTTTTACCTTCCTGAAGACCAGGGATACGCATGTGCTTTCTTACCACTGAGCTAGGCCTCCAGCCCAGCCAAATGGAATTTTTGTTTAGATTTCTTCCACTTATTTCTCATGTATCAGTTTAGAATACACTTTCTCCAGGAAAGCCTTTTATCCACCTCCAAACTTTGGTTAGTTGATTCTCTTCTATGATCTTATATTAGCATGAGCCTTCCTCATCAAGACAGCCATTATGCTTCATGTGAAGTGTTCATTTCTTTCTTTCTCCCCTTTTCATAGCTGAAATAGCTTCTTCCTGATTATCATTCACTCCCTCATACTTACCACATTACTATCTCAAGTATGTACTTAATAAAATCACTGAGAAAATCATGGAATAGATAAATAAAACACTTGGAGCCATGCCTTTGGAAGCCCTGAATGTGCAAATTAGCGAAGTCCTGCTTCACAGTTTTTTATGTCAGAATCTGGACACATCATACTCTATTCTATACTGAGTGTGTATTTTCTACTGCAGTCAGACGGGTCTCCTGTGAGAATTCCTATGGAAACAGTACCATTTACCTAACCCAAAGTATCCAACTTCCCCAAACAACCATTTGCACATACTAGACTCAATTTCAAGTGCATAAACACACCTTTCCAGCCTTTTCTAAGAGCATCTAATAATGACTAGGAGAGATCTCTAGGTTGCCATTTTCAATTTTCCTAAGAATCTCTTGCTCATCTTTGTAAAGTCATTGACATGGGAGCCCTTTGAACTATCTTTCGTTTTATTGTTGTCTTCAAGGAGAGACCAGGAACTGTTAGAAACAAGGATTCTATTTTTAAACCATTTCACCAGCACAGTTCTATTGGAGAGTAATTTATTGTGTTACTCACAAGAGCTCCAACTCAGAAATGGAGATGGGAATAAAGAAGAACATATAATTTAGTTTCGTTAACCAACACATTCAATAAAATAGTTTATTGTCTCAAACCTATTCGGCTTTGTCAACTCCTGACATAGTCACATGGTGGCGCTGCAGGATAAGATGGGAGACCGTTTCCTAACTGCAGCTCAGTTTTCCCTTGACCAGCGGAAGTGAAAGCATCAGATGAAACAGCAGCCGGCTTTCTGAAAGGGTGGAGCACTGACAAGACCGTCCTGAAAGGACTGCACATCTACAAATTCCCAAAGGTCTAGATGAGCAAAACCACCCTCTGAGCTACCAGAGACTGACCGGAAAGAGAACAGCAGAAAAGCATCTTGTCTAAGCAATGATGGAGCCAGGAGTGAGGAGAGCTGTTCAGCATATAAGGCAAGTGCTGCTTTATTTTATTTTCCTGGAAGGGTCTTTGGCTCTTTCCGAGACCTGGAGCTATTCTGTGGCAGAAGAAATGGAGACTGGCTCCTCTATAGCCAATATAATTAAAGATATGGGTGTGGGAGACCTGGCTGCACGGGGAGCCAGAGTTATATTTGATGATTATCAGCCTTATTTGTGGTTAGAACCTGAGACCGGAAACTTGCTCTTGAATAAAAAACTGGACAGGGAGGCACTCTGTGGTACCAGTGAACCCTGTATATTGCATTTCCAGGTGTTAGTGGAAAATCCTTTGCAATTTTTTCAGGCTGAGCTCTTGGTTGAAGACATAAATGACCATACTCCCATGTTCCTAGAGAAACTCATATTTCTAAATATTTCAGAAGGGGCTAGTCCAGGAAGCTCATTCCAAATGGCTAGTGCTCAGGACTTAGATGTAGGAATGAATGGTGTCCAAAACTATACAATAAGCCCCAACCCCTATTTCTACCTTACGTTAAAAGACAGTGGTAAGGGAAGAAAATACCCAGAGTTGGTACTGGATGGCTCTCTGGACAGAGAAAAGGAGCCTTCAATTAGTTTAATACTAACAGCCCTGGATGGTGGGTCCCTGCCCAGGTCAGCGACGGCACTGATTCAAGTTGTGGTTGTAGATGTTAATGACAATGCCCCTGAGTTTGAAAGAATGCTGTATGAGGTTCAAGTACCAGAGAACAGCCCTGTGGACTCACTGGTAACCAAGGTGTCGGCTACAGATTTGGACACAGGGGTAAATGGAGAAATATCTTATTCATTTTCTCATGTCTCTAAAGATGTATGGAAAACATTCAAAATTCATCCAGTTTCTGGTGAAGTCCATTTGAAAGCACCCCTAGATTTTGAGGTAATTCAGTCTTATACAATAAATGTTCAAGCTGTTGACGGTGGGAGTCTCTCTGGAAAATCAGTCATTATTGTTCAAGTTATAGACGTGAATGACAACCCGCCAGAAATAGTCTTTACGTCTCTTATGAGCCCCATTCCCGAAAACTGCCTGTCAGAAATGGTGGTCGCTGTTTTCAGTGTGAGAGACCAAGACTCGGAAGACAATGGCCGAATGTTGTGCTCAATTCAAGACAATCTTCCTTTTCTCTTGAAACCTACTTTCAAAAATTTCTACACTCTAGTAACAGAAAATACACTGGACAGAGAGAGCAGAGCTGAGTACAACGTCACCATCACAGTCACTGACATGGGCACACCCAGGCTCACAACCCAGCACACCATAACAGTGCAGGTGTCTGATGTCAACGACAACTCCCCCTCCTTCAATCAAAGCTCCTACACCCTGTTTGTCCACGAGAACAACAGCCCCGCCCTGCACATAGGCACCATCAGCGCCACAGACTCAGACTCAGGCTCCAATGCCCACATCACCTACTCGCTGCTGCCCACCCAAGACCCGCAGCTGGACCTCTCCTCACTCATCTCCATCAATGCCAACAGCGGACAGCTGTTCACACTCAGGGCGCTGGACTACGAGACCCTGCAGACCTTCGAGTTCTGCGTGGGGGCCACAGACCAAGGCTCGCCCGCACTCAGTAGCCAGGCACTGGTGCGCGTGCAGGTAGGTGTTGGACACCAACGACAATGCACCCTTTGTGCTCTACCCGCTGCAGAACGCCTCTGCGCCCTTCACAGAACTGCTGCCCAGGGCGGCAGAGTCTGGCTACCTGGTCACCAAGGTGGCGGCAGTGGACAGAGACTCTGGACAGAACGCCTGGCTGTCGTTCCAGCTGCTCAAGGCCACGGAGCCAGGGCTGTTCAGCGTGTGGGCTCACAATGGCGAGGTGCGCACCTCCAGGCTGCTGAGTGAGCGCGATGCGCCCAAGCACAGGCTGCTGCTGCTGGTCAAGGACAATGGCGATCCTCCAAGGTCTGCCAGTGTCACTCTGCTTGTGCTGCTGGTGGATAGCTTCTCTCAGCCCTACCTGCCTCTGCCTGAGGTGGCGCTCGACTCCACGCAGAACGATGACGACTTGCTTACGCTCTACCTGGTTATTGCCTTGGCGTCTGTGTCTTCGCTTTTCCTTTTGTCTGTGCTGCTGTTCATTGGAATGAGGCTGTGCAGGAGGGCCCGGGCGGCTTCTCTGGGTGGTTGCTCTGTGCCTGAGAGACACTTTCCTAGACACCTGGTGGACGTGAGCGGAGCGGGTACCTTGTCCCAGAGCTACCAGTATGAGGTGTGTCTGACTGGAGTGTCAGATACCAAAGATTTTCAATTCCTAAAATCTGTGTCTCCCAACCATGAGGTTGTGAATTTCATGGAAGAGAACTCTACTTCTGTGAATGGTTTTGGATACAATTAAGAATCCATTGCAGATGGTTTCGGATGAGCGTTCACTCTTTCTAAACATTCTTGTTTCCCACTGTTTTATCTTCATAAGGAATTTCTAGCTCCTTGCATACTGTTACAGGTTAGTCTGTTTTACAAAATCACTTTTGGTAAAGACAGAGAACTTTGTTCATTCCTGAGTCAGTGTTTCTTCAACTTGTCAGATTGTCAACATGAATCATTATTGATTTGAAAATGCTCACTTTCATTTTATTGACTGTTGTCCAGAAACATTCTCGAACTTTTGAAATGCGATAAAGATGTCATGAATTATCAGTGTATTTTCTGCCCAACATTATGCTTTCCTATCTCAAATAGAGTATCTGAACATGCATGATTTTGTTGTACAACAGTATTAATTGGGAAAGACAAAATCTCTGAAGTATCAAGGCTTTTATTGTCTTCATATGAACATCCAATATGTAATACATATAAATATTGTTAAAATGTTTTTAGATATCTCAAGACTTGTTAAGTGCCAGATCCCTCCCGTGACATCTGGCTAGCCCACCTCACGTTTTCTGAAAATATCTCTCTTCAGCATAGGTATAGGGCCAAAGCTGGATTTGTTTTGTACAACTGAGGTTCCTCTATGTTTCAGACAGTTGGACAGAGTGATGGGCATTGCTAACCTAAACTGAGCCAGTCTGGTCCTGTTTACTTTTATAATCACTTTAGAAACCAAATGCGTGCTAGTCTTTCTGTTAGGAATGAAGCAAGAAAGTGATGTCATCTTTTGGGGACATACCAGAAGCCACACCTCTGAGAGAGGAAAAAAAGGAAACAGACAAGTGGTCCTGTGAAAGACATTCTTGTCAGTAATCCCCAATGGGGCTGGGGACAGAAAACTAAGATGTGCTCTTTTAATGGACTTTTCTAATCCAACTGAGAAATTCTTGTCTATTAAATTTGTATTTTCTTTGAATTGTGCATGCTACTATAACACATCCAAAAGCTTGGTAAACTATTACAGAAACATGAAAAGGGAATGTGAAGTCTTTGTCAAAATGGGTAATTTTGAAGTCAGAAGTGGTGGTAATCTCAGGAAACTGAGGCAAGTTCTTGAGATCAGAGCCAGTAAAGACTCTCTTTAGTTAGGGAAAACCACGATGTTTTTCCTTTAAGAGAAAGATGGTTTAGACACGCTGTGTTATTCAAGTGACTACTGAAAGGATATAGAGTAGGAAGATGTTGTCTTGTTCATTCAGCTTTTTATAAAATGAGTTAGGTTCTCAACAAAGTAAGAAGCATCTACAATGGGAGAAAAATCCACACAATTGTGTGCTTTATTCCATGATGATTTAAACATCTTCTCTGTAACAAGAATTATTTTAGATGTTGGGATGCAGCAGTGAAGCAAACAATGCTGAAGTTCTTACAGGGTACCCGAAAGAAATATTCAAACATATTCATTTACAGTACCTGTGATGAAAAACACCAGAGAGAAAGAATGGGGTAAGAACTGCTTTCATTTAGTTTTCCCCTAGGCGAAAAGTTTTATAAAATTTTAAGTTCCTGGAAATGTGTAGAAAGTGTATCATAAACTGGATCTAACATGTAGATTTTTTTTCCTTTATGAAAAATCAACCAATGTGAACCACAATCGTGTTACCTGGAAGACATACACTTACAAAGAAGCCCCGAAGTATTGAACCCACTTTATACTGAATTTGAAATTGCATGTCTATATGTTACTAGTTTTACAAGATGACTGATCAATCAGTTCTATGTCTTCTTTCATTCTTAGTTTCCCCTAGAGTGTCCCAGCATAAGTTACAGGGTTTCTAGTAGGGAGGCAGTATATCTGGGTTGTTTACTCGTGTATTTTTCAGAATCTGACACATTAATAACAAGAATTCCTTTTGCTTAGTGAAGGACTGAACAATCAAAATAACATTAATTTCGTGATTGAATATATTTTCTAACTTCTGACAACTGAAATAGACTACATAAAAAGAATGGAACCATGTAGCGATTTGTTGAGAAGCAAAAACAACGCATGGTGGCGCTGCAGGCTAAGGTTTAAAAAAGAATGACCGCGGAAGAGGGGGAAATGCTTCTTCAGGTCTCTCTCTGGCTAAAAAAAGACCTTAGACAGAGCTCAAACCATTAAGTCTCCAGAGAATGCTGCCGACCTACACTTCGGAACAGACTATAAACTGACAGATCGACTGCTGTCTGGGCGCCCTTGCACCCTGGGTGCCGAAGCAAAGATGAAGATGGGAAAGGAGCACAAACAAAGGCAAGTTCTGTTGATCTTTCTCTTATTGGGAGTGGTTGGGGCAGGCTGGGAGCCCCGCCATTACTTTGTTTTGGAGGAAACACCCAGGGGCACGTTTTTAGCTGATCTACTCAAGGACCTAGGGCTGGGAGTTGCGGAGCTGGCTGCTAGAGGAGCCCAGGTGGTCTCAGAGGATAACGAGTCCCGCTTACAGCTTGATCTACAGACTGGGAAGCTAATATTAAATGAAAATTTGGACCGGGAGGAACTGTGCGGCCCCACTGAGCCCTGTGTCACACATTTCCAAGTGTTACTGAAAAAACCACTGGAAATATTTCGAGCTGCGCTACAAGTGGGAGACATAAATGATCATTCTCCCAAGTTTCCTGAGAGAGAAATGACGGTGAAAATCGTGGAGGCTAGCTCTGTTGGTTCTGTGTTTCTACTTAAAAGCGCTCAGGATTTGGATGTGGGCAACAACAGCATTCAGAACTATAGCCTCAGTACCAATTCCCATTTCCATGTTTCCACCCGAGACCTAGGTGATGGGAGGAAATACCCAGAGCTGGTGCTGGACAAAGAGCTTGACCGCGAGGAGCAGGCAGAGTTCAGATTAACTCTGACTGCGCTGGATGGAGGGTCTCCGCCCAGGACTGGCACCTCACAAATCCGGATTATTGTCTTGGATGTCAATGACAATGCTCCTAAGTTTGCACAGGCGCTCTATCAGGTGCAGATCCTAGAGAGCAGCCCCGTGGGTTCCCTGGTTGCTAAGGTCTCAGCCAAGGATTTAGATACTGGGACAAACGGAGAAGTATCGTATTCGTTTTTTCATCGTTCTCAGGAGATGAGTAAAACTTTTGAGCTAGACGCCCTGTCAGGAGAAGTGCGACTAATTAAAACACTGGACTTCGAGACAGCATCTTCATATGAAATAGACATAGAGGCATCTGATGGCGGAGGGCTTTCTGGGAAATGTTCTGTTTCTATTCAGGTGATGGATGTCAATGATAATTACCCAGAACTAACTGTTTCGTCGCTCACCAGCCCCATCCCAGAAAACTCACCAGAGACAGAAGTGGCTCTATTTCGAATTCGGGACCGAGACTCTGGGGAAAATGGAAAGACAATTTGTTCCATCCAAGATGGTATTCCTTTTGTACTGGAACCTTCTGTTGAAAACTTCTATAGACTGATGACAGAGAGCGGGTTAGACAGAGAGAGCAGAGCTGAGTACAACATCACCATCACAGTCACCGACCTGGGCACACCCAGGCTCTCAACCCAGCACACCATAACAGTGCAGGTCTCTGACGTCAACGACAACGCCCCCGCCTTCACTCAAAGCTCCTACACACTGTTTGTCCAAGAGAACAACAGCCCCGCCCTGCACATAGGCACCATCAGCGCCACAGACTCAGACTCAGGCTCCAATGCCCACATCACCTACTCAATGCTGCCCACCCACGACCCGCAGCTGCCCCTCTCCTCGCTCATCTCCATCAATGCCGATAACGGACAGGTGTTCGCCCTCAGGGCGCTGGACTACGAGTCCCTGCAGAGCTTCGAGTTCCGCGTGGGTGCCAAAGACCAAGGCTCGCCCGCGCTCAGCAGCCAAGCGCTGGTGCGCGTGCAGGTGCTGGACGCCAACGACAATGCGCCCTTCGTGCTCTACCCGCTGCAGAACGCCTCTGCGCCCTTCACAGAGCTGCTGCCCAGGGCGGCGGAACCTGGCTACCTGGTCACGAAGGTCGTGGCGGTGGACAGAGACTCTGGACAGAACGCCTGGCTGTCGTTCCAGCTGCTGAAGGCCACGGAGCCAGGGCTGTTCAACGTGTGGGCTCACAATGGCGAGGTGCGCACCTCCAGGCTGCTGAGTGAGCGCGATGCACCCAAGCACAGGCTGCTGCTGCTGGTCAAGGACAATGGCGATCCTCAGCGCTCTGCCAGTGTCAATCTGCATGTGCTGCTGGTGGATGGCTTCTCTCAACCCTACCTGCCTCTGCCTGAGGAGGCTCGCGACGTCACAGGCTACAATGAAGACCTGCTCACGCTGTACCTGGTCATTGCCTTGGCATCTGTGTCTTCGCTCTTCCTCTTGTCTGTGTTGCTGTTCGTGGGGGTGAGGCTGTGCAGGAGGGCCAGGGCGACCTCTCTGGGTGGCTGCTCTATGCCTGAAGGACACTTTCCTGGCCACCTGGTAGATGTCAGCGGTGCGGGGACCCTGTCCCAGAGCTACCAGTATGAGGTTTGTCTGACCGGAGACTCTCATAGTAATGAGTTCAGATTCATGAAGCCGGTGTTTACCAATATTCTAGACCAAAACTCTGATGGGCAATTAGGAGATAATCCACCCTTCCCGAGTATTTTAGGCATGTGAAACTTCACGTTTCACTCGCTGTGTAACTAATTCTCTTTTGATTTTGCATTTTCTTTTCAAATTTGGTAGCAATGTTTAATTGTGTTTGTGTTTTCATTTCTCTGCTAGTTTAACTAATGTTACCATTTGTTTTCTAGCGTTCACTGTGTAAGTATTTTTCCAGTTCTGTTGTTACTGAGCATTTTCTATCAGGGCACTTCATGTTCCTGATTGAATTTGCCATACTCTCTCCCAAAGGATGTGAATCTCTTCTAATGAACACAAGTCTAATTTTAAAAGTACATTTCCTGGCCTAAGAGAACAGATTAGTTTGGAGAGTGCTTGTGCAGTTTGTTGGAGGCCCTAGGTTGGATCACCCTGTAATTCCAGCCTTTGGAGGTACAGCAGGCTATCAGGAATTCAAGGTCATTTACTACATAGAGAATTCAAGCTCAGCCAGGGCTGTATGATGAACATGGCATATTAAGTCTCAAAAAATAAAAAAATACATTCCTGAGTGTGTGACACCACAGAAGAAAATATGATTTCTTTTAAATCATACTTCATTTTAAAATTGGAAGCCCATAGGTTTTCGTGTTTGTTTTTTGTGTTGCCAAGAGTTCAGAGCCTCCTTTGTGTTATCTTTGGAAGGAGTTCATATTCATTAATACCAAGTTTCTTCCAGATCCCGTTTATGTTTTCTTTTTTCCAACAGGAAGTAACATGGTAATTTCAAGTTTTTTAATGTTCACTGTAAATATCATTTCATGAAAAATGTATCCATGCCTCTTCTTTCTTGTCTAAATTAATACAGAAAAGAATAAAAGCCTCCCTGTTATCTTTAGTTGATGGGAGCCCTTGGCATGCTGCTCCCAGATGGTCTGTGGTGAGAAAGTTTCTGTAAAATCGATAGATTCCAGAAACAGTGATGTATTTCTTGCTGTTATCACTTATAGTGAGGATATCTTGATGTAAACCCCAAATTCTGGGCTCAGGTTACCTCCTGGTGGTATAACATTGCCAATATCTACTTGATTTGGATGATGACAATGTTGGAATAAATCTTCTGGCCTACCATGTCACCTGGATGACAATGTTGGAATAATAAATCTTCTGGCCTGCCCTGTCACCTGGGTACCCTGTCCCTTTAAGAGACAAGCCCCGCCCACTCCCAATCTCTTCCTTCCTACAGCTAAGGCAAGGCGATCTCAAATCTTCTCTCCCTCCCCTCTTCTCTGTTCCTTCTTCTGAAAAGACAGATTTTGCCTCTCCTTCCTCCCTCCTTTCTTCTCTTTCTCTGTCCCCCCTTTCTTTTTCCTCCCTGCTTAACTCCTTATCCTTATACCCCTCCCAACACCTACTAAATAAACTCTATATCCAAGCTCTCTCTGAATGTTGTATCTGTCTGTCTCCCACCTGCCTCAGTCTGACACCTACCAGGAGACCTGCCAGGGTTGTGCAGCCATGAATCATAACAGACATTGCTCTGACTGATAAGGAATTTGAAACAAAATGTATTATAGAATTAACATTATTTTGTCAAACAATTTTTAGTAATGGATATGTTGATGGCTTGTTGAATGATTTGGAGAAATAGTTTAAAAAATGATGACCTCAAAGCTGTTCAGTACTGATTCCTAGAACCTATGAATATTACTTTACATTGTAAAGAGAAAATACAAATGAAATTAAGGTTTCAATAAACTAAACTTAAAATAGGGAGTGTATCCTAAATCATTTGGGTGGGTCTGATAGGGCCAGTGAAAGGTTTGTAAAAGCAAAGGTGAGTCTACTTTGAGATGAAGAATAGCCAGGCATTGTGGTACATGCCTTTAACCCCAGCACTTGGGAGGCAGAGTTAGGAAGAGTTCAAGGCCAGCCTTGACTAGTGCGTACCAGGATAGCCAGAGTTACATAGTGAGACCCTGTTTTGAAAACATACATGCACACCGAGAGGGAGGGGACAGAAGAAGAAGTTTTCTAAGGACTGAAGATGTGGTTTCACTATTTCATCCTGCTATATTCTGCCTGCCATACAGAGTTTGAATTTCCTAGCAAATTCCCACAATAGAATAAGTCACTTACTTGTGATATGTTTTCTGAAGTCTCTATTTCTCTGGTTGAAACCTGACTGATACAAATTTTGGTACCTGGACTGAGATGAAGTTGATAGAATGACTTAAAATATGGAAGTGGGGCCAGTAGTGGTGGCACACACCTTTTAATCCCAGCACTTGTGAGCCAGAGACAGCAAGATCTCTAGGTAGCCTGTAGCCTGGTCTACGTGGTGAGTTCCAGGACAGTTATTGCAACACAGAGAAACCCTGCCTCAAAAATAAACCATATGTGTTTATGGAAGTGAATTTTAAACTGGACTGTGGTCAGAGGACAGATGAAATTGCAGATACAGAATAGAAAAAGTTCAGATTGTGTTGTACAGACTTGGTAGAAATGTGATAGTAACAAGTATGTTAATGAAGGTGCAAAAGGAATTGAGGAGCTTGGTGCTTATAGAACATGTTGGCACATAGAACTTATAAATCATTTAAAGGAAACTATGAAGAGAAATATAGACATTAAAGTTACTATTAGGAAGAGCCCAGGCAGGGAGAACATTTTTTTTATTAAAAATTTTCCACCTCCTCCCAATACCCTCCCACTTCCCCCACTCCCTCTCTTCCTCCCTCTCCAGTCCTAAGAGCAGTCAGGTTTTCCTGCTCTGTGGGAAGTCCAAAGTCCTCCCGGCTCCCTCCAGGTCTAGGAAGGTGAGCATCCAAAGAGACTAGACTCCCACAAGGCCAGTCCATGCAGTACAATAAAAACTCAGTGCCATTGTCCTTGGCATCTCAGTTGGCCCTCAAGGTCAGTCACATTCAGAGAGTCCAGTTTGATCACATACTCCACCAGTCCCAGTCCAGCTGGCTTTGGTGAGTTCCCATTAGATCAGTCCCATTGTCTCAGTGGGTGGACGCACCCCTCATGGTCCTGACTTCCTTGCTCATGTTCTCCCTCCTTCTGCTCCTCATTTGGACCTTGGGAGCTCAGTCCAGTGCTCCAATGTGGGTCTCTGCCTCTATCTCCATCCATCGCCTGATGAAGGTTCTATGGTGATATGCAAGATATTCATCAGTGTGGTTATAGAATAAGGCCAGTTCAGGCACCCTCTCCTCTGTTGCCCAAGGACCTAGTTGGGGACATCCCCTCGGACACCTGGGAACCCCTCTAGAGCCAAGACTCTAGCCAACCCTAAAATGACTCCCTTAGTTAGGATAACTTCTTCCCTGCTCCCATATCCACTCTTCCTCCATCTCAATTATCCCATTCCCCCAAGCTCTCCCCAATGAGGGAGAACATTTTGAAAGCTAAAGGAAAATTAATACTTTTATTCTTACATTATATGAAGAAAATCGTTCATTCATTTGGATGTTTGGCTAAGGAAATTTCCAGGGAAAGAGTTGGAAGTACAGTCTGATTTCTTCTTGTTGTTTATAGTAAAATATGAGATGGATGACTAGAGGAAATTTTCATCCTAATTGCTTTGTAACACATGTTAAAATCAGGAGAGTCACTGCCAGACGTGCTTGCATTGGAGAGAAAGTCGTAGGTACAACCAGGAAAGCATTCACTAGTGCTGAGAAATTCCAGCGTTGTTAGTCACAGGGAAGCCTCTTTAAATGGGGCAAACAGGTTTTCTATTAACACGCTTTTAATGACTTTTCCCTCGTGTACGGAGACAGGTATGTGACACTGACTGCAGAGATCACATGTAGCACACCCTCTGACTGACAGAACTTTCACAAGTTGTCTCATCTTTCCAGTCTCCAGTATGCCTGGTAATGGGTTAGAAAAAAAGAAAGTATTATTTTCTCCAGACTATTGTTATTAGCAGCCAATGAGTAGGAGTAGTTCCTGACACTTGGAAGCACTGATGACAAATTTCAAAATAATGTTGATTTGAATACAAAATGGGAAAAGGAAGTTTATTACTGGTACATTTAGATTTGGTCTTGCTCTCAATTTTTCTAAATGGTATACTTGGGTTAATCCCAACAGTCTTCTCATATGCTGAGATGTTTTGAAGTAGGCCCAGAGATTCAAACTTGTTAGGTCAGTTCATTCAATTTTCCATTGTCTCACAAATTGTTTGGCAATTGTTTCTTCCTCTTCTATATAACAAAGTGTTGTGTAAAGTATTTGTGATACTTTGAATGAAAATTTGTCTCCTATAAACTCCGATATTTGAATACTTGGTCTCTGGTTGGTGGAGCTCTTTGTGGGGCTGCTGGAGAAAGTCCCACCGTGTTGGGCTTAAGAGTTCATAGCACTGCACCCCATCCAGTTTTCTCTCTACACTTGGTGTTTGTGGTTGAAGTTGTAATCTGTCAGCTTTTTGCTCTGGATCCCTGCTTCTGTAGCACCCCCAACCATTATGGTGTCTCTCTGGAAACATAAACAAAAATAAACTTTCTTCCCACAGTCTCATTTGGTTATGGTCTTCTATCACAGCAACTGAAGAGTAACTCACAAAAGTTTTGGTTATTTTCCTTTTATGTTTATGAATTTGATATAATTTAGTATTAAAATAATCCATGGGTGAATTTTTTCCTTAGCGAAGACTGCATTGCAATCTCCATTTTTTATCTCAAAATTTATGCAAGACATGGGATACTTGAAAGATATTATTTATTTATAATATTAATTTTATCTTCTGATCTATTTAGGCTATACAGTGATGCTCTTCTTTTTATCACAGATATTGATAATGTGTACTTTATCCTCTCTTGTTTTCATAAGCATTAATATGAGAGTATCATCGTCTTTGATTTTTTTTAAAAATAAGCCAGAATTCCCTTTGATACATTGCCTATTTCTTTTTATTTTCTGTTCCAACACATTCTACTATTATGCTATAATTTCTCATATCTCCTTTGGATTTAGCTTTCCCTTTTGCTAGCTTTCTTATTTACTCTATGCTTTACTTTTCAAATTGAAATCAAAACACATAAAATACGAATAAGTTGTATACTTTCTCTGTGTGGTGCTGATGTTCTAATGACCACTCTATTTGGATTTGTAGTTTCCATCTTATTCGACAGGTAGGTCAATTATGAGTATATTACTTGATTTCAAAGTACTTTTGGAGTACTATTTTAATACTCCCCAATTATTTATTTGAGGACATATTCTGTGTAACTGCAGTTCTTGAAAAATGATTGAATCATTTTATTCAAAGTATTGTTTTCTCCAGACTGTTGCCACTAACAGTCAAACAGCAGCGGTGATTCTGGAGCATATTAGCAAACCTCCCCATCTACACTTGGAAGAAATGGACATTGTGTTGTGGTAATATTTTGTTTGTGCTATGACAAATAAAGCTTATCTGAAGATCAGAGTGCACAGTTACCTTCTAGTTAGCCATAGAAGCCAGGCGGTGGTGTACACACCTTTGATCCCAGCGCTCTGGAGGAAGAGGCAAATGGATCTCTGTGAGTTCAAGGCGACCTGGGCTACACAGGATTGTTCTAGTCTAAAACAGAAACACAGCCAGGGCAGTGGTGGCTCACACCTTTAATACTAGCATTTGGGAGTTGTACGTCTTTAATCCCAGCACTAGGGAGGTAGAGACAGGATAGTATAAGGCTGGGTGGAGAAAGGAATATAAGGCGGGAGGAAACAGAAGCTCACTGCATTCAGTCTGAAGATTCCTAGAGATAGGCTCATCAATTTGGTCTGGGGATTCAGTAAGGTAAGAACTAGTGGCTGGCTTCTCTGCTTCTCTGATCTTCAGGCAAGCTTTGTTTGTTATAGCACGAACAAAATATCCCCTCATTCTGTAGTTTGTCAGAATGAAGACTTATAAATATTAGCTAAAAGTTGTTTCAGATGTTTTGATATTATTTATGCACAATTTTCTATGTGTTTAATAATTTACTAAAAGGAAGTCAGGACCACGAGGGGTGCATCCACCCACTGAGACGGTGGGACTGATTTAATGGGAGCTCACCAAGGCCAGCTAGACTGGGAGTGATGGAGCATGTGATCAAACTGGACACTCTGAATGTGGCTGGCAATGAAGGCTGACTGAGAAGCCAAGGACAATGGCACTGGGTTTTGATTCTACAACATGGACTGACTTTGTGGGAGCCTGGTTTGTTTGGATGCTCACCTTTATAGACCTGGATGGAGGAGGGAGGACCTTGGACTTCCCACGGGGCAGGAGCCCTGACTGCTCTAAGGACTAGAGAGGGAAGGGGAGGTGAGGAGGGGGAGGGAAAAGGGAGGTGGGGAGGAGGTGGAAATTTTTAATAAATAAATAAATAAATAAATTTTAAAAAAGAATGTGTTAATTTCTTCCAGTATGGTAGTGTATTTATTGTCCATCTCTCTGCTCAAGTCTAGCATTTTTTAATCCTTATCACTTTGAATCTGTTATTTGATTCACATGGGTAAGTTTTTTTCTTGTTGTTTTGTTTTAATGTGATGAGTTTGCATTTGTCAATGTGAAATGTATCTCTTTTGTATTATAGTAAAATTTGTCTGATGAAGACATCCCATAGCTATCTTTTTTTAGTTATGATTGTTTCTTTACTAAGCTATACAAAAGAAGGAAGATAATGAGCTAAGCTGTTAGGCTTGCTGAACTATGGTCCAACATTGCCCTGGCTCTGTCTGAGATGAGGAGACCTGAGGGAGACTGAGGGTCAAACAAGAGATGGGTGGAGCAGGACAGGAGACTTGGGTGAAGAGTGTGTGGTGGAAAGGCTGCTATAGGAGAACCAGGGGACAAATGGAAATGTGGAGAGAGGCAGGAAGGGTGCAAAGAAGTGGAAAGGGGAAAGTTGAGGCAGCTGGGAAGCTCAGAGGGAGCAGGTCAGGAGTTGGAACAATGGCAATGAGGAGGGTAGAGGAGCTGTTTCTGGAGACAGGTAATTGACAAGTCAGGAAGAAGCAAGAGGCTAGCAGCTCTAGGGCAGGTCGGCAGCAGACATCCAGGGGAAGACAACTGTATTCATCTGTTCCCAGCTTAACTCCAGACCCCAAGGGGCCCCCATTGCTAGCCCATTAGCAGAAGCTCAGGCTAAAGCCCCACTGTCCTGCTTTGCTCTGCTGCTGTTAGGCTAAAACACTGGGCTGGAGCTGGACTAGGGCTGGTGGGGAAGTGGGTTCCTGGGACTGAGATGGAGAGAACCTAGACAGTGGATATTTGCCATGGTCAGAACCCAGCACGAGAGTTTCTGGGTAAGCTGGTTCTCTTGAAGATGTGGCAGGAGTATAAGGGATAAGAGAAGAGTTATGCCAGATCAGAGACCTGCAGAGCTGAAGTCATATGAAGGGTGGACAGAAAGGCAATAGGGCAGTGGCTGAGTCCAGTTTACAGGTCCTCGGTGCTAGGCTTTCTGCCCTAGTGTCAACCACTCAGTTTCATAGTTCTTTAGTTTTGCATGATATATCTTTCTCCATAATTTCAGACTTAACCTGCATTTACAGTTAATGTAAATATTCTGTAAACAGCATAATTGGGTTTTTGATTTTTTTAGCCAACATTATTGGTTCTGTCTTAAATTTGAAAAGGTCATTCAATTTATATGTAATATGCAATACTTCTATAGCTATATCTATTTAATTTTTGTTTTCAAACAATCTGTTTTTAGTCCTCTGTTT